TTAATAGAATTTTTCGAATGAAACTAATGGTGAAGTTGTAGCACATACTCTTGCAACTCAAAATAGTTCTATGCAAAGATCAATATCTAATCAAGATTCTATAAAATTCATTCCTATGGTAAGTAAAATTTAATGAAAACATAGATAATGTCATTACTATTGAACTTTATTTTAGCCACCAATGAATGGTGAATCAGATGAATCAGCAACTATGGCAGCACCAACATTTGTTCAAATGGCTCGTTTATTACTTGAGCAACAAATGAATTCATCTTAATTAGAAGAAAATTTCTTTGTCAGATATTTTATATCTTTTTTTTCTTTCGTGTTATTTGATAAAATATTATTTAGATTATATGATTCATCTCGGTTATTAAATCAGTCTTAAATAATATTTCAGTAAAGTACGATTACTTATTTTAATTTCGAGTTCTTCATTGAAAAAGTAAAGAAAAACATTAAACAAAGGCAATAGCTCGGTTTAATGAATTTTATGTAGGTTTATGTCATTTACAGTCGATACAGCGAGCTTATTTAGGTTAAACACAGTAGCACAGTAGGGAACAGGATAATACTGAATTGTTTTCTTTATTTTGCCGTCCTTTGTAATCTGCACCAAGCGTTCACTATCATAGTCAATAATGAGCCATTCATTACAAGTGAATGAACAACAGCGATACACTATATTGTGGAGACACTTAATATCAAGTTGAAGGAACCAGATGCGATCAAACGTTGTTGCCTGTCTTAATTCACTTCGCACCGATTTCTCGGATACATTTGCACACATCAGAGCTAGATTTCCGTTATTGTAAACAATGCTGTCGATAGTTTCATCTTTGCTACATGTAAGAGGATGTTCCCATTCTTTAGTCAATTCGATCTCTGGAAATAATATGAATTCCAAAACAGATGAGGGACATTTATTTGTGCTTACATACAGAACTGTGTCAGAACATGTACATGATCCCCAGTTTCGTTCTTCGATTGTGTCTACATTATCAATTGACATTGTATTTTCGTTTATGAGAAAGATGTTATTTTCTGTAAGCACAATAAATCGATCTAATGCGGATGACCAACACATATCATTAATTGCATCGTACGGCCATAAGGTTTGTTTGACTACGTTCATTTCTCGATCAAATAAACATAAATTAGGCTTTTGATGTTTTAATAAGTATTGATCATTGCCAGTTAGTAATCCAATACTGTTTTTAGGACAAGCAATTGTTCTAGAGATAGGTGAAAGAGTTGATAGATCAAGTTCATATTCAGTCATATTCTTAATAGAAATCAACGCGTCATCTATAATTAATGGACGAGCATTGATTGTACAACATGTTTCTTCAAGTTTGTTCATTTTGGTTTCGAGTTGACGAATAGTTGATGTCAATAATTCGATATCTTGACAGTTTGCTTCTTGTTCATTGAACAGTTTAGTTATCTTCAATTGCATTTGATTGACTTCTTTTCGTTGTTGACCAATTTTTTCATTAACAAGTTGATGAAGTTCTTGACATTTTTGTTCAAATAAACAATCAATTGTCTTATAACAATCTTGACGCCATTGTTCAAGTTTTTCACGATTATTGTCAATTATTTTTTGAATATCTAGTGTATTGAGACAATTCCCAAGTACATTAATTTCATCAGTTAAAGGATACAGTTGAGAAATGAGTAAAGCATTATGTTCATTTAAATGTCGTAAACAAAGATTTTGTTGGCAACAATCACACAGCCAACGTGATATACGAGTACATTTCTTTGTCGAACATGTTGGAGGCATTTGATGAAAATAATAAAAACTTTTATGTTCTAAAATTAAATGCAATAGAAAGAAAGAATGAAATATCATGCTATTTCTCAAAAAAAGTCTGTTTATTTACTGAAAAAAAAGGATTAACTTTGCATTCAGATAATAAAGCTTAACATTTTTTTGTCGCATATTAAATTCAACTAACAGATGTCGTAAAATAATGACTTCACAAAAATAACAATCAATACTTCGACTTCAGGTGATTATTCGTCGAAAAAGAGAATCTTCATTTTTTTTCGAAAATATGGTAAAGAGAAAAGAATATGCTTTTAATATGTATAACTCACTAGGGAACCTTCCAAGGTGCGGGAGCGCTTTTCAATCGGGGTTTCGTGCATCTTGTAGCCCGTAGTGAGTTATGCTTACGGTAAAAAAAGTTCGGGTTTCTGGCTTGTTTCTGAGGAGAT